GGGGGGGGGGTGCAGCTCCTCCCTGCCTGGCTTTTGGGGCAGGGGCAGCCTGGGTCCCAGCACCTCGAGGCTGTGTGGAGGTGTGGCAGTGCTGGCGGCTGGTGGGAGCGCTGCAGACCTCAGGCTCTGTCCCGTCCCTTCTCCTGCTGCCCGTGGTGGTGCCCTGCTATCCAGAGAGGGTTTGCCCTCATCACCCTCACCCGGCAGGTCCGTAAATGGTTAACCTGCAGGCTCGTAGAGCAAAGGCACAGGCACCACTGACGCCGCGGCCTGGACCCCAGTCGTTCAACGTAAAATCCCGCAGCGTGCTAAACACGAGGTCCCGTCAGAGTTATGCAGCCAAAAGTGACTCCAGGCTCTGCGCCACCCCCCACCCCCCGTGAGCCTCCTCATGTTCCTCAGCTGCTGATGTTGGGCCGAGGAAACTGCCGAGCCCAGCGTGGGTGTGTAAAGTAGTGTCGATCGTGGGACCCCAGGTGGTACTGGAAAGTGTGTCTCATAGGGAGAGCAGGGTCAGCACGTTAAATCTGCACTGTGTTTCATTTCTTGGGAGGGACGTGGGTGGTTCTTTGGCAAGTGGATCCGTAAGCTGACTGCTGGCCCTTTGGCAGGTGGATGACATTCTAGGAGAAGGCAGCGACGACAGCGACAGCGAGAAGAAGAAGCCCGAGGAGCAGGAGGGGGCATCTCAGCCCAGGGAGCCTGAGGCCCCAGTGGCCCAGAGGGGGCACACGCTCCAGTCGAAGTCACCCGGAGAGAGGAACGCAGCAGATCCCCGGGGGCCCAGGTGAGGGTGGCCCCGGGGGAGGGCTCGCAGGAGCAGCGCGCATGCCCACGCGCTGTCCCTGGGAGTGGCAGCACCTTCTGCTCAGACACGATGCTCATGCCGCCCCAGGCCTGGTCTCCACGCGGCTCATAGACCAGGCGGCTGGGTTGTTGTCACCCTCAGCAGGTGGTGGGAAGGGACCCCAAGTTGCTCTATGGTGGTCCTGAGATGGCCAATGTTCTTGTCTTCTGCTTCTGAGCCAACCACACACAGATTCCTTAAACTTGACATTTTCCGAGTGTTACATCATGGTGACCTGGGTTTTCGTTCAGATTTTGTGGTTTCAGTTGTTGCTCAGGCGGCTGTCTTCTGCAAGGGGTTATGTCTGTTCCCAGTGCAACTGTGTTTGCAGTGGGATCCAGGCAGCCCTCCTGGCTGTACTGGGAGCCCTGCCCCTCTGTCCTGGTCGCGTCGGGAGGGTACCTGGCCCCTGTGTCCTCAGCAGGGACACAGGTACTCGCAGGAGCCTCCCTAGCCCTGGGAGCCCCTCACTGTGCTGGTAGAAGACCTGGGCCCATGGTGTGGTCGACACAGGTTGACACTTTGTGCTTTTCCCGGTGCCTCCACTGTCCCACGAGCCCACCCAGAACTGAGTGATTCTGTGTAGACCCTCTATCCACTGAGCCCCTTCCCCCTGCCAGGCCTGACCGTAAGCTGCTTTGCACCTGGGTCAGTGAACACCCAGTGACAGGCAAGGCTGGGCAGAAATTCCAGCAACAGAGGGAGACAGATGGTCCCTGTTTCATTTGCAGGACTTTCTCAGAGACAGGAAACAGATTTGCAGCCGCGAAGTGTAGCAAGAAACACAGTCTCCCTCGAGGCGGCCACTTTGAGCTGAGTGGGTTCTAGGCTGAGCTCCCAGCTAACGTGTGAACACCTTGCTGCCCGGTCACAAGTTTAGACGTGTTTCTGTGTCCAAATGTTGCTGATCCGTCACGAGATAACTTATGTCTGCACTTATGTTAATTTACATAATTTTAAACACTTTGCTGAACAAAGTAGCCAGCCGCAGGGGCAAGTTCTGGCTTGAAATAGCCGGTCAGCAAGGTGTTAACTCCGTGTTGGGTGAGGACAAGCTGCACACAGTCATCTGCTCGCTGTGTTTGCATTTCTGCAAGCGTCCCGGGGGGGGTTTCTGGGGAAGGGACATGAGGACTGGGGCCTGGCTCAGTGGTATTCCTAGTGTGAGATGTCGTCTCATCTGTCTGTGGCATGTGCTGTGGTTATGAGTTTTTAACCCAACAGTGTCTTCTCTCACATAGAAAGAAAGAAAGAAGCAGCGTTTTCACCAAGACTCAGAGGGGACAGCTGTAGCCCACTGGGGACAGCCTCCCCCCAGAGGTCTGTCCTCTCCTGGGGGGAGGTGGACACGGCACCACCCAGCACAAGAGTTAGTGTTTCTCTCTGAAATCCCATGAAACATGCTTTGGGTTTTTTGTTCCCATGTGGCCTGTTTGGCGCGTGCCGACCTCCCTCTGCGTGGTGGCAGGGCCCGTGCTGGTGCCGCACGTGCGGTTGGCAGTACATCTTGCCGATTCAGCGGGGCCGAGCTGTTCTCAGGCATCCAGATGCCACTGAACTTGACAGTGCGTCTTCTCAGAAGCAGAGAGGGGTCTGGTTCTCCTGCTTTGCCAGGAGCTGACTCATCCCTTCAGATCGGCAGCTGCCAAATGCTGGCTATTGATGGCAGGGCTCCAGCTCCTGGAGGTCAGTCCCGAAGATAAAGTCAGGGATGCATCTGCTTAAGCCAGAGCTTCCCCAGTGGGCGCCCCACTTGTCTGTACCTGGAGGCGCCGCTGCAGGTTTGACCTGAACGTCAGCGTAGGACCCTTCAGGCTATTGGTGGAGTCAGTGGGCATGTCGAGACACTGGGTCAGCGCAGTGAGCATAGCAGTTTCCCATCGTTACCGTTGACAGCGATGACAGTCGACGTTCCCCTCACCAAAGACTTTTCTCCATGTGCCAGAAAAGTCTAGTCTTGGTGCTGTGACCATCCCATCTGGTCTGTGGTAAACACAGAAAACTGCCCCGTTTTCAGGGCTGGATTCCTGGCACCTGCCCATGCCCCCCCCCGCCTGCACTCCCGGGTGTGGTGACCCCATGCTTACACGTGGACACTCGGGCGTGGAAGATGTTTCTAACATTGGTGATTAACCTGGAAGGCCCTGAATACATTGGGGTTTGTCATTTCTAAAACAGAGGGAACGAAGAACTCCCCTTAGGAACGTCAGTCGCGCTCTCTTCCCCCACCAGGCATGGGTGGTTTGGGCTGTTACCCATGGTCATGCCCTGTGTCCTGACCTGCCTTGGGGTTGACGACCCACTCATGTGGTCAGAACCAACACCGTCCAGAGCCTTGTGGGGGGGGCAGTTTGTCTGGGTCTTAGATGGAAGAGCCACGGTTCCCGTGACTGCACACAGCAGGCTGCTGTGTGTTGGGGAATGGGCGGCAGCTCCAGGTAGGCTGGATAAGCGTGTCACTCGTCCTTGGCCCCGAGCCTAGCTGGCCCTGCTGCCGCCCACCTGTCTGTAACTGGCCCCACTCCCTGTGGGCAGACTGAGCCTGAAGCCACCCAGAGTGACTGGAGGCTCCCTCAAGTCAGAGCCTCCCACGGAGGCAGGTTTATGGGCTGGGCTGCTCCTGCATCCTGTTCGAGCCAGTTCTGACTGCGGCCACTGCCTGGGAGCGGACAGTGACCACAGCCTCCTGCTCCTCGGCCCCCTTTCCTTATGCCCCTTACGTCCTGTGGGATTGAACATGGTTCACTGTCCACCTGAAACAGTTTGTTTTTTGTTTTGTTTTTAATATATCTATTGATTTCAGAGAGAGGGAGGGAGAGAGAGAGAAACATCAATGGTGAGAGAGTGATTGATCGGCCGCCTCCTGCACGCCCCCTGGGCAAGTGCCCTGACCAGGAATCGAACTGCAGTCTCCTGGATCCTAGGTCAGTGCTCAACTGCTGAGCCACACCGGCCGGGCTGAAACGGTTTCTTTGTCGTAGATTCTTGACTTTCTGATGCGTCACTGACGCCAGCGTTGTTTTCTTCTGTCATCCCCCATGTCTCGGTCCTGGCAGGGAAGGTAGCAGAGGGAGCCCATGTCATGCTCCCGGGTCAGGTGGCCACGTGACTCCTTTACTTGGGACAATGTCCCGGGTCTGGTGGCCCTACCCGTGTTCTCCACCTCAGAACTGTGGTTTGCTCCCATACTGAGGCTGGAAGCCCCTTGGCATTTGTAAGTCCCCAGCTGATAGCTGCATGCTGAGGGGCCACCTCACAGCAAGTGCTTCTCTTTCAGGGGCCACAAGAGGAAGCTGAATGAGGAAGACGCAGCCAGCGAGTCCAGCAGGGAATCCAGCTGTGAGGACGAAGAGGGGAGCAGCTCGGAGGCGGATGAGATGGCTGCGGCGCTAGAGGCGGAGCTCGACCTCATGTGACCTGCAGGGCTCCCAGACTGACGCAATGTCATCTCCCCTCCCATGACGACCTCGACCTCCCATGCCAGCTCTCAGATGGGGTGTCCTCTCCAGGAAGATGTGTGTATTTTGCAAAGCTCCACCTACAGAAACGTTATTTTGCAGAAATGGGTGTTTTGAGAAGAAGTTTTACTACCGGAAAGTCTACTTGTTCCGTGACAATGATGGGAAGTGTGGGCCGTGCCAAAGATCTGTGGTGCTCGGCCACGCAGGACGGGGCCGCGGTTCCTGTCGTGTGGTGAGGGGCCTGGAGGGTTTTCCTTTAAATTCCACAGCATATTGTTCAGGGCGAAGTCGGGATCCGACGAGACACGGGCGCAGCAGGAACCCAGCATCCTGTGGTCTTCACTCTGAAGCCACCAGATAGCAGGGATTTCTGAGAGGCCGGTTCACGCGTGGACAGGCCTGGAGCCCCGCTGCCCCGCAACCCTCAGGGCTCGTTTCTGAGCAGTGCCGGGGTCCCTGGAACCTGTGTCCTCCTTTTCCCAGGACCAGGTTGCACACGGCCTGCCGTCCGCGCCTGCTCTTCAGATCTGGTGTAAAGTTTTGTATATTTCATATCTGACCCACCAAACAGGTCTTTCCTCCATTTAATAAAGGTCCTTTTTGTAAGCTCTTCTGTCTGGTGCATTGCAGCAGCGAGTGGGCCATCCTCTGTTCCTCCGGGGGGCCCCTGAACCCGTCCCTGTCATAGAGCTTGTAGAGAGGGACTTGGCATGCCCAGAGGTGCCCGGAGGCCCCAGGAAGCCCTAGGAGGCCCCAGCCATGGGAGTTTGTTCTCGGCTGACCATGGCTGTGGGTCTGCATTACTGGGATGTTTTTCAGAAGCCGACAGTAGAGCACTAAGAATGCAGTGACCAGCAGCATCCAGGACGTGGCTCCAGGCCCTCCGGGACAAAGCCGCAGAGAGGAGGTGGGAGGAAGCTTCCCACCGCATGTGTGCCCACATGGGAACACACGTATGCATGCATGCACAGGCATGTACATACAACTCACGTGCATGTGCCCACACGGGAACACACCACCACTCGAGTTGACGGTCTCTTAGTCACACACAATTTCCCATGCCCTCTTGACCTCTAGAGGCTGAGCCGGGCACCAAGCCACATGGAAACAAAAGCCCTCTTAGGATCTGGCCTCTGACCCTGAGCTACGCCCAGCAGCGTGAGCTGACAAGCACGTTCTCCCAAGTGGGACAAGGTTATAAGGTGACACGTCACTTCCGAGGGCAAACGTGAGGAGTCAGGACAGCTTCTTCCCGACTCCACCATCTCCCCAGAGGTGATAGTGCTCCAGCAAAGTCAGTCCAGATTTGAGATGGGGGAACTCAGTTGGGGACTCAAGGTCAGGACTGATCCAGGGTCAGAACCCACCCCGCTCCTGCCACATCAGACCAGGGGCTCTTGGGTCTCAGGGAGCCCCCACCCTGACGATCACTGATATGCCTAGTCAGCCCTGCAGAGAGCTCTGAGGCCCCCAGGAGTCAGCACCCCACCAGGTGGAGGGTCCAAACGAGGTGGGTGGGGGTGTCAGCATCTCCACTTCTCTGTGAATGGTCTCAATTCCAGATAAGACAGCCAGCCCTGTGAGGACCAGTCGTCCAGTTCACTGCTCACTTGGTGCTGGGCCGGCCGGGTGCTGGTTCCTGGGAAGACGTGCCCAGGTGCACAGGGCAGTGGAGAGACCACGGAGGCTGGTCCTGCCCAACTGCATTTCTTTGGGGCGGAGTGGAGCAGAGGTACCTGGGACAGCTGCTGCCCAGCTCACGGCTGCTGAGGAGGAAAATGGTGACTCGAGGCCCATGGGTGCCATCCTCTGGGGTGGGGACAGTAAGTGGTGGTAGACGGCTGTACAGGTGGCCAGAGACACACAGGCTGTGCCTGAACCTCCCACTGACCCAGCTTTCCATGGCTCTGCCCAACACCCAGCAGGTCCCCTGGGGAGGGAGGCACGCAGGCAGGAGGGCAGGTGGACAGGCAGAGGGGTGACCGCAGGAGGGTGGTGCAGATGAGGCCCCCTGAAGTCAGCAGGGGCCAACTTGTCACATCTTCCAACCTCTGTGGAGTGACACCTCCCCATCCCTGCCTGGGCCAGTTTTGGACACCACACTGTGACCTCACCAGCAAAGGTAAGAACATGCAGGACTGGGTCGAACACATTCAGGTTGATGAGCTTTGTTCTTCAATGCGTTTCTGTCACGGTAGGTTTATGAGAGTTAATCTTAAATAATGGCTTTTTAACAGCTGCCCAGCTCTCGTGGCCCAGAAGCAGCCCCTGGACACCCCGCTGCCCCCACCTGCGCTGGCCCCGGCAATCGCTAGGCGAGCAAACGTTCTCAGCACTTGAGATGCTCACTTGCTCGGCTGGTCTCTTAATAGCCTCTTAAGAGCCTCTGTTCTTTTCATAGAATCAAATAAGTGTAGAGCAGGAGAGACCAGATTGGGGGATGGGGGCGAGCTTCTGGAACTTTCTCTCAGCTGGATCCCAGCATCTTGTAAAGGGGTCAGGGGCAGGGCCTGAGTCTGAGTTTTCAACAGGCTCCTGGGCAGCACAGCCCCATCCACCTCCCTTGATTTGAGGTAAGGGACTTGCTCCCAAGAGGGGCCCCAGAACTCCCCCAAATCATCACTCGCTGGTTAGACGACTATTATCCCTCCTCATCTGCTCTGTCAACTGGCCTTCACCTCCCTTTTTTCTTACTAAACTCATTACAGCCTCAGCTATTATAGTACACTCACCTATATGCATATACCTACACACATGCCTACACACGTGTGCACACGTGCACTCACATACCTGGGAACAAGCACACGCACACAGTCGCCTCTACACACTCACCTACGAGCACACTGGCACATGCACACAGTCACCTATACAATCACCTGTGAGCACACTCAACGTGCACACACAGCAAACCGTGAGGCTGGTGAGAAATCCCTATGTGAGCAGAATTGCCTTAGAATATTCAGCTGTGTAATGACAACAGGGAACCAGCTGCCTGCAGCTCTGAGCCTGCAACACCGGGTTTCTCTGGGGCTGCAGCCTCCATGCAGGGTCTCAGCAAACACGCCATAGCTGCACCACTGCTCCCAGTTCAGGCAACTGATCGGGCCTGAATCTGGGCCGTTGTGGAATCATTTCTCACAGCACCCCCACAGGCAGTGCCCAACCTGCTGTTTGTCAAATTAGCAAATGTCCCCAGTTTCAGAACTGAGCAAACAGCCACCTGGTGAACAGGACACAGTGCCACATGGCACAGGTGGCCGCTGCACAAGGACTGTACCACCCCTCACAGGTGAGCCGCTGCAACAGGACACAGCACCACACCACACAGGTGGCTGCTGCAACAGGACAGCACCACACCACACAGGTGAGCCACTGCAGGCTCGTTTGCAGAGGAAGCCCTGGTCCCTGTGCAGCCTCCACTGGGCTGATGGTCCAGCCATATCCACCTGACCGTCCAGGCTCAGGACCCTCCCCTGTGAGTCTCCTCAGTGGGTGCCCTCCCCCAGTGCAGTCTCCATGCATTCAAGCAAACTCTTCATTGGAGCAGACACCTGCCTTTTCTGGGCACAGCTGTGGCTCCTTCGACTGTGCAGGTCCCCGGGCAGAGGCAAGGTTTGTTCTGCCTGTGGGGAGGAAGCCAGGACCTCCTGCCCTTCTCCTGTGGGGAGACGAGAGCAGACTGGTCACATGCAATCTCACCTTCCGCAATGTTAGCTAAAGATATTTTATCCTGGAGGGAAACACTTCAGAAGTCTCTGGGTGCATATAGGACGACCTCACCAAATTCTCTCATTGAGAGTGTGGACCCCTGGGCACGTGCTGTGGTGATGACAATAACGATGCTGAAAGTTTTCAAATATCACCCAGCTGTATCTGGACAGAGTGCAGGGCACCAATTCGTAGGAGGGATTCCTCTCCCCGGGTCAGTGTTGCATAACAAGGCCGTCTTCTGCGAGACCTGCTGCTACTCTGGAGCCAGCCGGCTGTTGCATTTCCTTCTAAAATCCAAATCTATAACTTGGCCAGAGACCAATTTCACACACAAGAAAAATTTAAATCTAGCAGCATTTGGTACTTTTTTCTCTCAGTAGCAACTGTGTCTAATTGCTGTGGCGGTCCCTGCATCCTGTGAGCATGTCGGAGGGAAGCTGGGGCCTTTGGTGACCCAATGGACCTGCTTACAGAGCTGTGGGAGTCCTCCTATTTCTGGTTCTGGTAGCTCTGGTTTGTGGGTGTTGAGACGGGGAATTTCCAGTCATTCACAGCAAATCTAGGAAAACAAGCAACAGGGACACCATTCAAACTTCGGTCTCCTCCAGGTCGCTGTTGTTCCCAGAACCACGGATTAACCAATGGTATTAACCGGGACCCGGTTTCTCTGAGCAGTGGGACAGCCCCGCCCCACAGGCCCTGAGAGGGACCATTAAGTCCGTGTGCGCAGATGAGGGAGGTGCTGGCAGGCAGCTTATGGAAAACTGTTGACGCGATTGGAATTGTTGGGCCTGGAGAAGGGAGCAGGCAGGCCGCATTCATTACCCAAAACACCCTGTTTTTAGCTCCAAAGTTCCCATGTGAGGTCTGGGACTTAGGGGAGGGTGCGGCAGATCACTGTTGGGGGTTCTTGTAGTTGGCAGCACCCTGTTCCCACCCACAAGATGTCAGTGTCCCCCACAAGCAGCTCCTTCCTCTGTCCCAGCAAATGTCTGCCAAGTACAAGACCCCCCCATACTGTTTCCCCCAAACTCCAGGGAGCCGAGACTGAGACCTGGAGCACACAGGGAGGTACCTGCTTTCCCTCCCCTGCAGCACCTTGGCATCTGTGTGGTCTTGGGTTTTTCTAGTTGCACTTGGTCCAGGTGGTCTTTGGTGGCAGCAATGGGACAGGTGGAGGTTACAAGACATGATCAGATGACTTCCAAAGTCCAGTGGGAGAGAAAACGGCAGGAACAGCTCCAGGATGTCTTCATTCATCTGAGAAAAAAAGACGTCAGTGGAAACACCACATGAAGGGCAGCAGGTGACAGCAGATGAAACTGAGCATCACCTGGACCAGGAGCATGTGCACACCTGCTCCAGCCACCCACCTGCTCCAGAGGACTACCTGTTCCAGCTCACCACCTGCTCCAGATAACCACTTGCTCTAGCTGACCGTCTGCTCCAGCTGACCACTGGCTTCCAGACACAGGCAGCTCCCACCTGTCTGGCCCCATCAGAGCTGTTGTGACCGTCCCAGCTGCAGAAGCAGAGCAGGACCCTGAGTCCGCAGCCACCTACCCATGGGAGTTGTGTTTTACAGCTGATGGAGTCCACGGGTTTTAGGCACCCCACAGGCAGGGGGAACGAGGCCCATGTGGAGGGGTGGACAACCGCAGTGGATTACAGGTTATCGGAGCCCTGGGGTCATGCCCAGAGGCCAGGGTCTTGGGGACCAGGATGGCAGAGAGAACCCAGAGCGGGTCACGTCTTGTCTCCACCTGGCTCAGGGAACACTGCCCCCACAGAGGCCCTGCAAGAAATCCCTGGGGCCCCGTCACCCACTGTCCACAACCCAGGGATTCTGATGCTGATTTTTCCAGGGGCCTCATCTTGTCCTCAAAACTCCAGGT